ATATATATATATATATATATATATATATATATATATATATATTGCTATACTGAGAAAAAATTTACTAAATTTCAAGGAACGTTTGTTTGGATAATACTGTGAAAATATTTATTTAAATTACGTAATTATTTTCTAAAATGAAATAAAGAAGTTTCAAATATATAAATTTGTTTCTTTAATTTTATAAAATAATTACTTAATTTACACAAATATCTTCACTGTACTATCCAAACAAACGTTTTTTGAAATTTGGAAAATTTTTTCTCTGTGTATATCTGGAATAATTTAATTTTTCTAGCGGTCAGCGGTGGTTTTTTATCAATGTTATTATGAAATTCCCCTTTGGAATCATAAAGTGCAGACAAGAAGTTTAAATGCTAATCATAAAAAACAGGTTTTTTCTGAAGTGTTAAAGTGAATAAGAGTGTCTAAATGTTAAAGTGACTAATGTCAATAATTATGTATTTTAGCTTACATGCTCATTTACTAATTAATTATCTATATCACATATGACTTATCGTCTTTTAATTATTACGAATTAAGAAAAAAATTAAGCATTTAAAGAGGTCGGCTTTTCGGCAAACTTGACCAAAAATAATAACTGTTTTAACGTGTGCTTGTAATGCATACGCCTGTTTTTCTCATTATTATGCTAATAAGCTTTAAATAATTTTGCAGCGGATTCCGCTCGTCACTAGGAAATGTGAAGCTACGAGAGAGAAATAGATTCATCATGTATTCGATTTACGCGTGGAGTTGCCCCTCCTGCCTTACTATCCTCTGTCTCATCATGGATTTCGTCCCCGATATACCGGAAACTTTAATCAAACCGGGGTTTGGCATAATTAAATGTTGGTTCTCGAGTAAGTACGACATAAATAAACGTCTTCCTTTAACGTTAGCGGCCGTCTTGCCTAACTTTCGTTAAATCTGCAAGGACTCTGATTGTAATACGTGTGTTTAGGCCTCGTAGAAGCGTATGCTTTCGTCTCGCCCTTTGCTTATTTTAACTGTATTACATTCAAGTCACACAATAAAGTTACTATTATATCGGATTCTATAATAAAGTCCTTTCGGATTTCTCTTTCGAATTAATTTATATAACTGATAGAATTAATAATATTGATATGTTGTTTCCTGCGAATGACCTCGCATAATGTCAATCGGCCTTAGGTAAAATGTAATGTTTATATTTTTATGTTGTTATTATAAGATAATATATGTATAAAGGATAGAAAAATATTACAGATCAAAAGGTGTACGTTGCGCGCGCGTTTCATAAAATTATAACGATACAAAAATACAATCGTTTTACCTAAAAAATAAAAAATACTACAAAACCGTATATTACATCATATATTACAATATTTATATATTATATATATATATATATATATATAAAATTATAAAATATTAATAAAGTTGATATTATAGATAGACATTTTGACACATGATGATTGAATTGAGTATTGAAAATTGTAGCACAAGTAAACAAATATATATATAAGAAGGATTTTGTTAGTATATAAAGTATATACCCAATGAAAAATTTTTCATATATAATTATATAAAATTATATAAAATTATATATAATTATATATAATTATATATTATTATGTATCAAATTTGTCCATTCATGTTCATACATTCTACTTATATATATAATTATATATAATTATATATATAAATTCATATGTAATTTTACATAATTACGCATAAATTTATATGTAATTATACATATTGTTATACATAATTGTGTATAATTATATATAATTTTATATGATTATATATAATTATACGTAAATATGTATGGACAAATTTCATACAAAATTTTGCATGAAAAATTTTTCATCGGGTAAGAAAGACAACTGATGTCATGAAAATTGCTGTTTATTTGCCGGCAAAAGAACGCAATTAATCCGAAATTATTATAGTAATTAGAAGTTAAACGTTTTAAATTTAAAAATATATGGAATATATGTATAGTAAAATAGTATTTCTTAAAACAGTATATTCTAAATACATGTGTTGTAACACATTTGTATCACAAAGGCCAAGTTAAATTTTTGCATGCTATGTTCAGCATCTCTGACTATTTGGACTAGTTATTATTATTATTACTATTAATTAAAATGAAGAATACACATATCACGTGTAACTTATAAAACGTGAATATTAATGATTTATTCTCTACTTTCAGCGAACGAGGCAAGAGGTTTATATTTTTACGTACCCATGAGTATCACTATTATCTGCAACATTTTCCTGTTCATTTCCATGGCCTTCAAGATCGTACGGCACAAGAAGGGCACAACTCATCAGCTGAGAAGCTCGGAAAGCAAACGTCACAATGACAACAAGCGATGGTTCGTATTTGAAAATATCATTGTCATTATTGTTTTGACCCAATGAAAAATTTTTCATGCATAATAATATATAAAATTTGTCCATACTTAATTATGTATAATTATATATAATAATATAAAATTATATATAACTATATGTAAATAATAATTATAATAATATAAAATTACATATAATGATACACAATTATATATAACTATATGTATAATTACATTTTTGGTATGCGTGATTATGTAAAATTATGTATGGAATTGTGTATAAAGTTATACATGATTATATATAATATATATTAACATGTAGAGACAAGTTTTATATATAATTTTATATAATAATGTAAAATTATATATAATTTTATATAATTATGTATGAAAAATTTTTCATTGGGAATACATGCATTAATCCACATAACTGATAAAATTAATAACATCGATATAACGCCTCCTGTGAATGACATCGCATAATGTCGATCGGGCCTCGTTCCTAATATGGTGATTATTTTTAGACAGAGACTTTCCTAGGCCGTGGTTTGCTTTCATAATTATGAAATCTTCTGAGGAAATAAACATATCGCCGCCGTTTTGACCGCGGGCGCGAGATTCCTCCGACGATACGAAAGCGCCTAGGATTCCGAAAAGAATGATGAACGACCGTGCGAATATAAAATCGAAGTGAATGCTCTTGGTGTAAAAGGACCGGATAAAAGCCACATTTCTTAGAAGACCCCTTAAGAAAAAATTTTAAGCTCTACTCGAAATTTGCCTCGTTACTTTTTAACATTTACTCGTCTATTTAAAGATAACCGCGACTGTCCAGAAATATTTATCCTCGTGGATAAAATCTTGAATATTCACGTGAACAGCAAGATTATCAAACTCAATGATTTTAATGTATTTAGGTGATTTCAGAGGTAGTGGTCCGTTTTAATGGTTCCACTTTGCACTATTCGCAAAATATCTTTTTAATTAAGAAAAACGCACGAGAAAAAAACCTTCTTAAGCCATATATTTTTAAATTTAAAACTAATGATCCAATATCTAGATATAAAAATATTACATTACATAACATAGATATAATGCAAAAACGTTTTATATTTATGTTGCTGTGTTATATCGTTATAACCAGTAAATAGCAGAGCAATATAACAATTTTAAGACAATTTGAATTAAATACTGAATTAAATACTGAAATAGTTACTGTAATCTGCAACATCATCGTTCGACCGTGTATTTCACGTGTTTGATGTTATAATTTTGGAACTCTCAAAAGTTCTTTGTACATTTAATTATTAGTTTTTCGTGCTAACATTGTAAACATAGGCTACAGTACTTGCACGGATATCACTACTTGAGTTTAGGCTGTCCTCGTTAACGTAGTCGATAAAACTAATCGATCGCGTCGTAATCGCAAGAAATATAATATGAAAAATATATTACAGGTTCAAAGTGTATCTGAAGTTGTTTATCGTGATGGGCGTAAACTGGTCCATGGAGATAATATCGTGGGTGATCAAGGGCGTGCCTATATCCGCCTGGTATGCAACCGACCTGATGAACGCTCTGCAGGGTGTCATCATCTTCATCATATTCGTGTGGAAGGACAATATCAGGAAGCAACTACTAAAAAAATTTGTCTGTCGGGAAAACATATTCTCCATAAACTCAAGGCGCAGTGGTTGCAACAGCAAAAGTACTCCGCGCAACATCCCAACGGGAGTGACACTTCAGAAGAAGATCATCCCCTACATACAGAACTGGCGCGCAAAGAAATCGTCCGACAAGAATTCGACCAATTCTCCTAATGTATAATGCGAGGAGAGAATTCCTTTGGTGCAGAATCATCGTGGTCGGTAGCCTATAATATGTTATTGCCGTAATGTAATTTTGCAGTCAAAGTTAAATTTTGTATTATTGTACGTTGATCTCTTTTTATTTTTCACTTTATACAGTGTATCTGGCGGCACAACACTAATAGTACAACACTCGCTTGTACGTTAAACAGTACAGGACAATTTTTTATCGCTTTACAGATTTAACAATAGTTAGTAAAGAATTGATTACAAAATATCAACGAAAGTGTGTGATTGCACGGAAAGTGCTAAGTCGGTCTTTGTGAATAAGTTGATATCGCGAGAAGATATCTGATTGGTGCATTTCTAAAGATGGATGGAAATGCACCAACCAAAACAGAATATTTTCATCCAGCAAGCAACCAGCATCGAAACAAGCATCGTGTTCCGCTGGCTTTAGTAGCAGAAGAAAGAGGGCGCACTAGTGCATCCGATCGAATTTTGGCTTTATTGCCTATTGTAGAAGACTTATTACATATAGCCATTTTATTTACTACACATTATTAAAGATATCTTCTGTGATAACAAGTAACCAATAAAATAGCTTTGTGTGATACAGTATTCATTGGAAAACAGTCATTACATAATTGTAAACGAATGAGTGCATTCAGTACTACCGCTCATTGAGCGTTCACTGAGCTCTTTCATCTGATTGGTATATATTTTTAGATCTAAAGAAATATGCCAATCGGATGTAAAAGTTCACTAAGCGTTCAGTAAGCTGCTGTCGTATTGGATGCATCTAATATCGTAATTGGAGTTGGTTTATGGCTGGCGTATGGTGAGCATCGAAGAATATTGCCTCTCGTGAAAGTGTGAGAAAGCAATTTATAATTCGAATTAATTTCACCTTTGAAAATCTGTGATTTATTAAGACGACTTGGCAAACCTATTTAAATTCCTGATGTTTCGTTGCGAGAATGATCGTAATAGAAATGTGGGAATAACTTCCACGCTCAAAAACTATGTATCATTATCTTTAGACAAAAATGCTATCATGAAGAATACTGCGTGGGATACGACTGACGCTGTTTCGGCAGATGGATACTTCAACATTTGCGTACTGCTTAGCATGCTGCTAGGATTCTATCAAGACTACAAACGTGTAGTAATTAACGCGCGTCACGAATTAATTTTATTACGGTCTCGCAGTGACAACAACAGTCTATTTGGATCTTCAGCGTTGCAACCTAAGAGCGAGATATTCAAAATACAATAGCGAATGCCTCATGTAATGTTGAATGATATCAATAAACTTGCCCTGCTGAGAACTTTGGAGAATGATCGATATCTGAGTATGAGTTTCCGCTCATGGGATCTGTATGAATTTCCTCTGCTCCAAAGTACGACCAAACATCTGTGGACCGTCAAACCAGCCACTAATTTGGAAAAACCGCGATATATTATCTTTGCCTTGCAGACTAGTCGAAAAAAATGTCATGTCGGAAAATATAACTCAATTCGACAACTGCAATTTGAATCTCTATCTAAATTCAGAGTGTTATCTATACGATGACATAAATTTAGATTTTGTAAGAAACAGATATGCAATATTTTATGATATGTATAGTCCTTTCCGCAAATCGTATTATGGATACAACAATGCTGAGGTATGGTTAACACTATCGACTTTCTGAAACATAGTCCTTTCGTGGTTATCGACTGTTCGCGTCGAAACGAATCTGTTAAGAGTGCCATTGTAGATGTGATAGAATTTGAGTGTAGAGAGAATATACCAGTGAATACAACCGTATACTATTTGATCCTGCATGATCGTGTAGTTGAATACAGTCGACTAACCAACTTAGTGCGCAAAATCAACTAACACTGGAAAGTATATATATGAGATAAGAATAATAACAAAAATCAAAAAGCTATATACGACATTTTTATCCCGAACGTATCGAAGAGCACATCATTATGGTCGTACCAACATTTGTGGACTTGCAAGGATTCGTCGTTGGGAAAAGATTTATTGTAAAGGAAGTAGCGATACTTAGGAATGGATCTGTTCTCTCCCATTATATCTTTACTAGTCCCATACCATGGCATCTTCTAACAAGATTCGACAAATCGAGAGCATACTGGTTGGTGGCTAATCGTCATGGACTACGATGGGATAACGGGATTGTTGCATACAACAGAGCTAAGCATTTGATTACGGCAGCTGTGGTTGGCAAAACATTCGATATGGAACATGAAGACGTTGCCCCCAGACTCGTATACGTAAAGGAATGTGAAAAGCGAGAATGGTTGACGAATCTTCTGGATGACAATGTGAAAAGTAACCTGATCATCGAGACCTTGGACGCGGATTACGAGGACATAATTTTCTTGGGCAAACTGTATGCAACCAACACTTTACGATCTAATGATCATATTAAGCATTGCGCTTTACAGAATGTATTAAAAATATTCAAATGGTGGTCTCAGTGCCGGAGAAAATTGCCGGAAATCTTTATTAAACAAAATAAATATTTTTTAAAATATATTAATGTCTCTTCTCTCTTTTACTTCCTCTTTTCCTCCACCCAATCTTTGAAAAAATCTACGTAGGTAGATATGCGATAATTTCGTATCTCATAGATATATCGCTGATATATCGTAGGTACACGATAGATCGAAAGTATACGATAGTGTATGTTTAAAGATAAATTTTTATTGGGGCTGCATAATTTCGGAGGGGATTAACTGTACTACATAAAAAGATTTGTCCTCCTCAAAATGTCTCTCGAACTTTTTGGAATAG